TTCAAATTTTGAGTCATATCCGTTGACCTAAAGAAGTAATTTACGCTATTTCCAATTTCTAAAAAATAAACTCACTTACATTATCTGGTGTAAGGTATCTATTATAAAGGTCTAGTTTAGTTTAGTTTTTTTTTTTTTTTGCCTCAGACACGTAATTTATAGCGTCAGTTGTGTGTTCGCTTTAATATTACAGTTTTCATCATCGGCTAGTGATAAAGGTCTAGTTTAGTACCTAGAGACATTTATTACAGTTAAGTGTTAACCTTATTACTTTCTTAATTTAGCACAGAATAGTAAACTAACAGTGATTTTTTAACATAGGTCTAGTCTATCACAACATGAATTTAAGAAGAATGTCTAGTAAGTAAAAGCTTGTAAAAAACTAATATGATTCATTATGATTGAAGCTACTAGAGTTATGTACCTTGACATTCTACTAGAGTTATGTATCTTGACATAACACTAAGATATGTACCTTGACATACTACTAGAGTTATGAACCTTGACAGGCTACAAGAGTTATGTATCTTGACAGGCTACTAGAGTTATGTACCTTGGCAGGCTACTAGAGTTATGTATCTAGACAGGCTACTAGAGTTATGAACCTAGACAGGCTACTAGAGTTATGAACCTTGACAGGCTACTAGAGTTATGTACCTTGGCAGGCTACTAGAGTTATGTATCTAGACAGGCTACTAGAGTTATGAACCTAGACAGGCTACTAGAGTTATGAACCTAGACAGGCTACTAGAGTTATGAACCTTGGCAGGCTACTAGAGTTATGCATCTTGCGTGGGCTGCTAATTAGCACGTGAATAAAAACAAAGGACTTTATGATTTTTTGTTGCTTCATTAATCTTGACTCAGTGACACTTATGGCGTACACTAGACTGTAATCAAACATCATACAATTTTGATTATTGATTGATTTTTAATAGGTGACATAACGACCAGCAATGTTTGTCTCGGTGATCGTTTGTGATATGCAAGATTTTTTGGTGGTTTGTTGTGTTGGTGTGATGGAGGGGGGAGGGGGGTGACAGTGGGGTTGGGTAGCAGTAGTGTGGTGTGTTGATGGTGTAGGGTGTCACTGGGGTGGGGTGTAAGTGTTGTAGTGTTTGACGGTGTTGGGGTGTGAGGGTGTTGATGTGTGAGGGAGTAGTGTGTGAGTGGAGTAGGATGTGCGTGTGTTGAGTGTGACTCGGGAAGGGATAGGCTGGATTACGAAGCTTGACTGGAACATTTAACCGAGTTGTTTATGAGTGAGTATTTAGGTTGCATTGTGTGATTACATAAGTTAAATAAATTACAACAAACAGGTGAGCATGTATTAAACAGGGTTTACTAGTGGCAACTCATACATACAAGTTTGTGTGAGCAGAATTCTGAGAGCGTTATCTAGTGGCTAGGTACAGTAGCATGTCTATATAATTTAGTAAAGAGTTGCTTTCAAGTGATACTTGTCAAGTGAATAAGTTGATGTTGCTGTCTCTGGTGTAGGGGGGGGGGGGGGTAAACTAACAGTTTCAACAAACAAAACACACAATGTGTCTCCTCTAGTTGTTTCATTGTATTTGATATGAAAAGTGCCGTGCTGTTTCTTGGGTCATATTAATGCATGAGTTTGACCTCACTGAGTTTTTTATGCCTAACACCGTCTTTAATCGCCGTCACAAGCATGTTGGTCCAATTTAAATAAATTTATTTCCTAATAAGCCAACACAATCCAAGTCAGCGGCTCTTTTGCTTCCCCTTGTTGAACCAAAGTCTATCAACTCATGTTCAATACATTATTTGTGTTACCGTCAAAGTAAGGAGCGATAGAACAAGGAATGTGCGTCAACTTTTGCTATAAAGAAATTATATTGTAGAAAGTAAATGTTTACAGGAAAATGAAAGCTACATCCACTCAAGCAAGGTAATATATAAAGTTGAATTATGTATGTGACCGCGGACAGCGGACCCGTGATTAGAAAGTAATAGAGAAAAAAAATAGACTTGATCGTCAAAGTGTGATATATCTAAAGTGCTGATCATCTAAATTAACGAAATAAAAATTTAATGTTGAAGGTGTTATAAAACAAATTTCATTTTCTAAACTTACAGTGTTAATTGACGGCATGTGCATAATCAAAATTAAACAGAATGTATTACCCTTTACAAAATTCTAATTGTGACTCAAAATTATTTACGGTTAGTCCATTAGCACTCATTATGTCCGTTGATAAATTAAGAAAACACAGTTACTTACGTTTAAAAAAAAAATACATCGAGGACAAAAATAACTTTTTATTATTTTGTTTTGGTGTTGAGAAAAAACATTTGTTGTTGTAAGTAAAACACATATATTTTAAATACTGCCTTTTATTTACTTTATATACTAAACGTACTGTTTACTAATTTTTTTTACTCAATAACAGTTTAGAAGCAAGCTCCTAAATTTCCTCTAGTTTATTTCTATCTTTCCGTTTGCGGATAATCTTGGGGTATTATTGTCGTTTACTAAATGGAATCATGCGTGTCCGCCGGCGCTCCGAGCATGGTTCGCTTTGACGTCTTGGGCTATCCTGTGAGCACTTTGGTGCATAATTTAGTTTTTAAAAGTGCGATAGACTATGGATAAGAAAGGTCACTATAGTCTTTAACTGAATCAAATTCTGGCGTCCTCCATCCCCCCCGACAGGGTTTTATTTGGCGTGTGTTTTGCCTACGTTCGTTTAACTGAGTGCAAAAGACTTTGAGTAGGTTGGGGTAATTTAGTCGTTTACTATGTCGAAACAGGCTGTTCCGCAGGCTCCACAGCATGTTGCGATTTGTCGCCTTGGGCCAGACTGTGAGCATTTTGTTTGAATTTAAGTTTGTGTTTATGTTTGCGTTTATTTGTATTATTTTGAGTTATTGTTTGCTTTTAGGTTTTTATTTGTATTTGCGTTTGTATTAGCTTTTTGTGTGTGTTTGTGTTTTATTTTTATTTGGGTTTTGGTTTGCATTTGTGGTTGGTTGTGTTTGTGTTCGCGTTTGCTATCGTTTCCCCTCTTTTTTGCGTTTGTGTTCGTGTTTTTTTTGTGTTTGTGTTTGCGTTGGTGGTTGGGTTTGTGTTTGTGTTTTTGTTTGTGTTTTCGTTTTTGTTTGCCTTTGTGTTATTTTTGCGTTTTTTTTTGTGTATTTTGTTTTTGGTGGGTTGTGGTTAGGGTGGGCAGTGCCGTGTATATGCTTATTACTAAACACACATGCCAAGGTCCATTACATAAAGGCTTTTTACAGAGGCCAGTTCAGGGCCTGGCCGGGACGTCTAGTAAATTATAAGAATTGTGCCCAAATTTCATAAGATTTCTGGGTGCGATCAAACCTACACTGGGTGACTATTTTAATACTCTCAGATTTAACTGTAGTCAACATCCAAAACAATCATTTTATTTTTAGAATCGCCGTCTTACTTAACCAATGAATCACTGCACGAGTGATAAAACAATCTTTGGTTTTCCTAACACGTGTGGTTGACTTGTGAAAAAAGTTAATGAACGCTGATGTTAATTTAGCTCATTAATTCTTCATCGATACTCCTTCCTACTAGCTCGACCTTCCTAATTAAAGTTTATCAAAATTTTAGTACAGTCTCAAGCAAGATAACTCATCTTCGACAAATGCGGCTCTCTAATTATGATGGCTCTTAATTAAAATTATGATGCTTGTTTTATTAAGATGGTTTTTTAATTAAGATGTCTCGCTAATTAAAATGAACCTATTGTAAAGATAAGGGAAAATCTCGTATTGATGCTCTAATACATAGATCTGTACAATGGCTATTTAACAAACTAAAAGGGTCAGCTGCTTTTACACTGACACTGTCGTGTTCAATACACAAGCATTTTTAGCGCAATTTCCATACTGGCAATTGCGTTTAATAATTCGTCATTTCTGGATGGATGGATGGATGGATGTATGGATGTGTGTCCGCAGCTTTAAGTCGTATCTCCTCCTCAACGAAGCAATATCGAGGACTAGTTCCAAAGCAAATATGTTAAGCAAGTTCCGAGGATGATTGTGGGTCAAAAAAATTCCCGGAATTCCTTCCTGGATTTCCCGGAAAAGCCAAAAAAAACTCGAAAAAATGCAGTTTTTGGCCCATATCTCGGCAACCAGACCACTTAGCGACTTGAAACATTTACCAATCTATTTCTGCCATAATTTAGAACAATATTGCATAAACACCTACAAACATCGTTCTCCTAGCTTGAACGCACCCCAGCATTATGCGTCTATCTATTTTTAGATAACATAAGGAAATTGCACTAAAATTGTCACTAGACTTTTTATTAACTTGTTTTTTAAAAACAGTAGAACGTTTTTTAGTTTCCCCATCTCTGATAAGTACCTAACTCAGGTTAGGGAAAATATAGGCGGCTGGCAAAATGCTGACCACACCTTAGCTTCATATGCCAAGATGAAGAAAGAGGATTCTTTACTAAACAATTATTTCATATTCTAATTAGAACAAGCAATTTGTTTACAATTTCTGGACACAATTTAATACCCAAAAGCCTGAACAATCCAAACAACACCCTGTCTTTTTGAAGTGATAAGCGAATGTTCGCCTCATTATATTAAACGTCAGCTTGCGTTTGTATAATTTTTTTAAAAAATTGACTCAATTATGTACAAGTTCAATCTTGAACTTTTATATTTTGTTCAGTCTGTATAATCTTTAGGCACCAATGTAATGCCCTTACAATGAGTTCAATATATTTTGTGTGTTGTACAAAGTCAACAATAATAATGTAACTATGACTTTATGTTATAATGTACACATTGGTGTACTACGTAATGGATGTTGCAAAATTCTGTAAATTTGCTTGGCTAAACAAGTTTTATTAAATCTAGTTTAAAAAGGAGCGTTGTAAGAAACGTGTTATTGTTGTTTTGCTCGTAACCTCACGTTTATAAGATATCTATCAGAAGAATAGAACCATTAAAATTGATTTTTTGTTTCAAGTTATTTCGGTCAGGGTCAAACAGTTTTTAACGTCTCCTCATTGCTCGTATCATTAGTGAGGTGGTGTTGTTTGGTAGGTCTAGATGCTCGTGTCATTAGTGAGGTGGTTTTTAGGTCTAGGTGCTCGTGTCATGGTAGGTCTAGGTGCTCGTGTATGTGAGGCTTTTAGTTGATACGGCCTGAGGTGTCTATCAGGGTGAACACATTTGATGTAAGCTCGGATAGTTACATTGGAAAATAATCTCTTTTTTTTTAGGTAAGGTGAGTTATTATAAGCTTTTACTTATTTTATGATTTTACTAAGTTCACGATGTCTTTCGTCTGTCTGTCTGCCTGTCTGTCTTTTGGTTTGTGGATCCAATAGAAATATTTCGATTTCCATATTTTTAATCCAATACAATATGAAAATAGTAAATATATTTTCTTTTGAAGATCGATATATTCTATATCATAATATATCGAGATTCACTAGTAGAAGTTTGCCTTCATAAATCAGGTGAGCTGTAGCTACTGATGTTTACATTACTGATAATCGACCACTGGCTATATAATGAGAAGATAATTATCGTTTGAAAAAGTTAATACAGATAATATTTGTAGTTGCGGTGTGTCAGCTTGTTTACAATTAACTAGTTAATAAGAGAAATAGTAAAAATCTTTATAGCTTTTAAATACAATGAAAATAAGAAAATAAAAATAATTTATTTAATGAAAGCTATTGAAGCTAAAATATGTAAAAGATCTTATGAGCGGCCAAATATTTGTAAATACACATACATATGTTTGTTAACATTTACTTTTGAACATGGCAATAAATGGCTTGAGTAATGCCTACCCTATAACGGCTAGTCCAATATAATATCATACTTTCTAAAATTGTTTATTTAAGAAAAATCTAAAAAAAATTCGTAACTAGTTTTTAGACATTTCTTTTGCCAACAGTCTATAAAATAAACAATAACAAAGAAGAGGAAGTTAAACATTTTTCACATATTTAGACAGCATTGTAAATTATTTAGGAGACTGCGCCGCTGAAATAAAACTCACTTCTCTAAAGCCAAACAACCATTGCAACCATGTAAAAAACATTCCTATCGAAGAAAATCTCTTTTACGACTAAATGAAGACTTTTTAAAGTTATGTCCATAGTGCTGTACTGTATGACAGCGAAGAATGAAAAGTAACAATCGCTACCAGCAGATCCCTGGACTCTTTACAAAATGCTTGCGGAGGTTAAAAGGCACACATTGGTCTAACACGATCTTAAATGACGGACTAATAGGAGTTACGGAAACGGAAGAAAGTTCAAAAATAATGGAAAAACGAAGATGGCGATGGATGGGGCACGTCCTAAGAATGAATCCAGAAGACATCGCAGGAATTGCGCTAAACTGACCGCCTCAAGGAAAAAGAAAGAAGGGAAGTCAAATTGAGACGTGGAGGTGCACAGCATGGAAGCAGCTGGCAGAGGCAGAACTGTCATGGGAGACTGCCAAGAGAATTGCCAGAGAACGGCAAAAAGGAGGGAGCTTTCTGTGGTGGCCCCTATGCGTCCTGGACCCAAAAGTGAAAAGTTGATGATACGTTTTTTTTTAAACATACATGCGGATTTTGTGTTTCCTGAAATATTTTATGATTAGACGTTTTATTAAAGAAGGTTCAACTAAATGGTGTGATATTATCTAATTTCAACTTATATACATTAAAGTCTGTTTACCAAGCTTACAATTAATAGCACAACTGTACTACTAGTAAATAAATAGTATTATATCTCAAAATGAAAATTATGCAATACCACATGAGGCAAAAATATATCATTTGTTTAAAATGAAATAGCAAGTCAAATTAAATTTATCGGAACATAGGTTAAAAACATAGTTCATGTCTCTAAAGGTCTGTAAAAGTCTCTAAATGTCTTTAAATGACTCGACTTACTTAGGTGATGTCCCTCAAAAACTTTGATTGGTTGGCTGTTGTCTCTAAATGTCTTTAAAATGTCGACTTACTTAGGTGATGTCCCTCAGAAACTTTGTTTGGTTGTGGCTGATGTCTCTAAATGACTTTCGATGTCTCGACTTACTTAGGTGATGTCCCTCAAAAACTTTGTTTGGTTGGCTGTTGTCTCTAAATGTCTTTAAAATCTCGACTTACTTAGGTGATGTCCCTCAGAAACTTTGCTTGGTTGTGGCTGATAAGCTCTATGGTCACGTGCCTTCTGGCGGAAGATCAAGGCTGCGTCAGTCATGTGTGTGGTAGCACCAGCACCAACAATCACGTGATTGACCTGACAGAACCCAAGAGACCCGGACCTTTTCATGACCTAACAAAGACCGAAATGATCAAGGTAAGGAGTATGTATGGGTGTATAGAATAGAACACTAAACACACAACCTTATGTTCACAGCTTCGAAATTCATGGAGAACTTTCCCAATATCCAAGTTCTTGTGACTTTACAAACTTATGTTTGCAGCTCCGTAAGTTCCTGGAGAAAGATCCCAATATCCCAATTCTTGTGATACCCATATGTTTACAGCTCCGTGAGTTCCTGGAGAAAGATCCCAACATCCGAGCCGCCAATACGAGCACAGCCACTCTCAACTCCAGTTACATTTACATGGCTGATCTGTACCTGCCTAAGAAATCAAAGGTTCTCAACTTTCTGGACAATGCTGGTACGTAAAGGTATTAAGAAAGCAAAAAGTAATTGTTACCAATAATATTTATTTTGACTAATTTTTCTATGTGGATATTTGTCAAATGTAGGTAAGCAGCCAGGTAGATACGCACGTGTAATGGTGAACCGCGGTGACCTTGACCCTCCAGTTGTTGAAGAGTACGTGTGCGGTCCTCTGCATAAGATCATTAAATGTAAGTTGATGGTCTTGCGGAACAGAAGGAATCCGGTGGAGTTCTCAGTCAGGTGAGCACCACTGTCTCATTACAAGATTCTCACTTTGCTCCATACATGTGTGTCGAGCTTCAAATGTCTAACTTTGTGATCTAGATCTTTGTCTCACTACAAAGGTCGATGACAGGCTCTCTTTCCGCATACCTCAGGTTCATTCTCTCTGATATTTCCTCACTTTCTGTCTCTATCTTTATCGTTTGAAGTTTTAAATTTTCAGCCTAAAACTTTCATCAACTACGCTACTCAATGAACAATTGATTTCTCACCTTAAGACAGATCGATTTGTGTCTTCTTGCAGGCCGTTCAATCAGATGGAAATGGATATCATTGATGAGTTCCTCTGGAGAACGCTCGATGCTAAGGTCTGGTTCACACGTAATCTTATCTCGTAAAATCTCTTGATAACTCGCTAAAACTCAATCGTTACCAATAATGTATTGTTTAGACGTCGTCAAATATCGCTGTTCTTTTGTAATAACAGGTGCAGGTTACATCAGAAAAAAAACCAAACCAAAAACCAAAAACCGATATCAAAACCTTATCTTAAAATTAATACAGAATTAAAAAATGATGTTGAAAACGGATGGATACTAAATAAAGTCGAAGCAGAGGCGTATCCAAGTTTTCGTTGTAGGGGGTCATCCATAAATGACGTCACGCTTTTTTTGACGATTTTTACCTCCCCCCCTCCCCTCCGTCACACTTCGTCACAAAAAGCCAGACCCCCCCCCCCCTAAAATGACGTCACACCTCAACCTACAACCCCCCTCAAAATTGCAGTTGAATTTTTTTTAAACATTGATATTTTTCCAAAATCTTGTCTAAACTATTACAATTTATTAAAACAGTTATCTAAAACGCGGAATAACGTCTAAAATTCGTTTTCTAACATTGCTTTTTTATGATGCAAAAATGTGACGTCGCAACATCTGACCCCCCCCTCCCCCTCATCACACGTCGTCACAAAATTACGGACCCCCCCTCCCCCCTACGAGTGTGACGTCATTTATGGATGACCCCTAGGGGGAGCGAAAAGAGCAAAAGAGGCGCCGAATTTTTAACACGTTCTAAATACGTGTATTATATATATATATATATATATATATATATATATATATATATATATATATATATATATATATATGTATATATATATATATGTATATATATAGATATAATTATTAGCTGTATGTCTTTACTTCGCTATGATGTAAAATAAATTGAAAGTAGCACTCTGAAGAAAAAACTCACAATGTAGGCCGAAAAAAAAAATTTGTATCAATCTAAACAAAAATAAATATACACACACTACAACCAAAAACAATGAACGTAACACAATCTGTTTTGTGATTCTTGTTTAAAAAATTATTACATAATAATTCCTGGGATATTATTTAAGAAAGTGAAATACTGCAAATAATTACTCTCTTAATATAAATATGTATATATCTACACATTTAATTATAAATGTCATGACAAATAAATAATTACTTTAGAATATAATAAAATTGTTTAACACCATTCGTGCTTACAAAATGTTTTTGTCTATAATCAGACTTCAATATATCGTCATCATAAATGCTAAAGTATTACAGCATAATGAAAGTTTTTAAAATCAGAGTTGGTATAAAACCACGCTTTTCGATACAATGGAAAAACATTTGGAATAACAGCCTACATTTAACTAAATATCGCTCTCTTAGTTCAGATCATATATTTTTAACTAACTACTGCTTCTTTTTGTTCTATAAAGATTATTTTTAACATAGTGATAGGTATGGGTTAGATCACTGTATTGATCACAAACCTTTTCACTGGTAATTGCAAAAACAATATTCACAAGAGTTTTACGTTTAAAAAGACAATTTTCTGGCGGCATGGTACTTTGGTGCATCATTACGCGTTTTTCTACATGTGCTTAACAGATAAGTTCGGGGGGGGGGGGGGGGGGGGGTTCAACTTCATTCACCAATGTCCGGTCACTTTAGGTCAATTATCCAACCCAGTGTATACCTAGATGTGACATTAATGTCGCTCTACACAATTGTGGTGGTGAGGTGTGTGTGTGGGGGGGGGGGGGGGAGATAACCAACTCAGAGTGAACATAGCTTAAGTTTTAGATGACTGTTCAAAAAATACATATATATTACACAAATACATATTATACAAATATATATTATTACATAAATATATTTAAATAAGTAGCAGTGGTATTATGACAATATTTTTTTACAGAGGGGTCATGGGAGAGGGGGGGGGGTTGTAACTGTTTCATATAATTTGTAATCGTAATCAATATCGCCCAAACTGTAAGAATACTAATACTTCATCGTGATGACGTTGTTGGCCTTGTCAAAATTTCCCCACCACTACTCAGTTTGCTCATAAGTAAATTTAAGTAATTATGTGTGAAGTTTCATGTATATAGGGGACGGAGTGGTCTAGCGGTAGAGAGCTGGACTGCTAACCCGTAAGTCTCGAGTTCGAATCCGGGTTCAAGTCAGCAGACCGTCCCTGAGTCCACCCAACTGATGGGTACCTAACTCACGTTAGGAAAAGTAAAAGCGGCTGGGCATAGTGCTGACCACACTATCTCTTCATACTCCGAGGTCACAGAAACAAGTGACTTGCCCCTTAGACCGTCAGGTTTGAAAGGGAAACTTTTATGTATAACATTTTCTAATTCAATTATTCGTAAGCAAATACATTATACAGTTGCCTTTAACTTTACACCCCTCTTGCCAGGTGGTACTACCCGTAGAGGTTTTTTAAACATTGCAATGCATCGTAATGGTTTTTTTTTTTAGAATGGCAAACTGATGCAGCTGTTACTACGTGTTGTAAACATAGACACTACTAGACTAGTACAATAATGCTTAATTGCTGCATGAAAAGAAGTCTTGTGGTTTACATAGTTGTGCCGACCAAAAATATTTTTTTACAAATATTATTGTTTAAAACTTTGAGTTTAAAAAGTTTCCAAAAAGGCGCCACTTTGCTAAAAATGGCCAGAGGTGGAGCGGCCGCTCCCCCTGCTCCCCCCCTGCGTACGCTACTGAGTCGAAGCCGTACCCCTCAACCTCGCAGCAAATCTCAATCATGATAAAAGTTTCATTTAGTGTTTCTTTCAGGCAACTCTACTTTGGGGGATGGGGGGAAGGGGGGGGGGGGGCTCAGCCCCCCTCACTCCCACACACATCCCCCAAAGCACGTCTACCCTCCCATTCAAAGAAAGAGAATTATATAATTTTATCTGTGTCTGCGCACCACCCCCCCCCACCCCACCCTCAGAAAATTTAGCCTACCCCAACACCTGAAAATTTCAAGTACCCACCCAACCCCCTCCGGGTTAGGAATAAGTCTGAAGGAAACACTGATCGCATTTGTAGATTATACAAACTAAAAGCAGAGCCTACATATAAAATATAGACTTGTTTCCTACTTTTTGCCGATAAAGCCCACTCACACAGACAGTGTTTTTTTCGGACACTTTTCCGGAGGTGGGGACTTGAATTTTCGGAGGGGCGAATACTATTCTCCGGGGCGGGGGAGGCTGACAATGGTAAAAGTATATATTTTCTATATAAATTATATTTCGTTGGTTTTTTAGGGGGAGCGGGGGTGGGGTGAATTAGACGTTCTACCTGGAGGGGGCGGGGATTAGACTGGGTGCGATTTGGCGTCACGGGCTATGTATTTTTGTTTGCATTTAATTTGTGTTTATGTTATGAGCGTTGTTTTTATTTTTTCGTTTTTCTATTGTGTTAGTGCTTGTGCGCTGCATTTGTGTTTTCGTTTGTGTTTGCATTGCATTTGTGTTTTCTTTTATTTTGTGTAGTATTTGTGTTTTCTTTTATGTTTGTGTTGCGTTTATTTTTTTCTTTTGTGTTTGTGTTTGTGTGTTGCGTTTGTGTTTGCTTTGTGTTTGTGTGCATTGTGCATTGTGCTTGTGCTTGTGTTTTATTTTGTGTTCATGATGTTTTTGTGTTTTCTTGTGTGTTTGTGTTTTCTTTTGCCTTTGTGTTGTGTTTGTGTGTTTTTTTGTATTTGTGTTTTCTTTTGTGTTTGTGTTGTGTTGTGTTTGTTTTGTGTTTGTGTTGTGTTTAGTTTTGTTCTGTTCCCAAGTTGGTACATTTAAAAAAGATTTACCGAGAAGGAACACGGTAATGCAGCTAGTCAATTCACATGCGCTTTTGAGAACTCGGAAATAGCGTCAATTACTACTTCCGGTCAACGTAAAATTACTCCAAATTTTACAGAAGGCAGAGAGTTAGATATTTTACTTATTTTAGAAATTTCGTTATCTATCTGAAATTGTCAAGTTGTAGGCTTTTGAAAATTTGAATGTAGAATAAGTTCCATTTCCGGTTATCGGAAATAACTGAAAATTTGATACACAACTACATATTTGATATAATACATATATTTAAAATGTCATCGACCTAGCTGTAACGGTACTTAAGTTATCGTGTTTACAGACACAGACACACACACACACACAGAGACAAACGGACGAAATTGCAAAACGATGTGTAAAACGTCGAGGTCTGTAAACATCTCGATTTTTTTTTCACGATTACCATACTTCCTTTTTACTTCGTATAGAAGAAAGTAAAAAGATAGAACAGAAATCTAAATAAAAGTTGAACCCACGATTTCCCTGTCTACAGATTGGTCACATCTTACGTGAAAGTTATAATGCTTCAGTCACTGGATGTGACAAGGATCCCACCGACTGTCTGACCTACAATCCTGTACCTATGTCAACTGGACTATTGGACAACATTAACCAGAGGTGACCATTGCAGCAATTTGCTTTACTTGTATATCTGTGTACACGTGTATCTTTGTACAAACAACATTAAGCTGCGTTATAAGGTTACAAGCTGTCTGATCATTTAGTTGTACTCACAATTATAGTGCTTAAATCATCTACAGAGAATACGTTTCTCCCCTCAGTGTTTAGTGTGGTATCGCTGTTCGCTCTGTAATAAGTTTGACCTCTTCTCGCCACAGAAAAATATGGCTGTTTGCCAGTTTCGACGTCCCATTTTATACACTACATCCTGTCGACTTCGGAGTCCTGTGTAAGCTCGAAGGTTCGGATCCTAGAAATTTGATGGTGGAGAAGATTTGGTACGCTGGCAGGATATACGACACTGTGGAGGAGCTGGTAGACGGATACAACGCTAAAACGTAACTGGTTTCTAGACGGACTTTCACTTACACTAGTGTATCTATACATCATTTTAATTATTTTAGACCAGAGGTGGACTGGCCAGCCATCTAACGGGAAATTCCGTTGGGACCCCAAGAACGGTGCGGTTCTAGGCCTATGAGTGCTTTTATTTTTTAAAACAAAATGTTCAAGTGAATTTCCATCAAGCTGATGATGATAATCAGACTTTAATGCGGAAAAATACTCAATGAAAATATTTATCAGGGATTGGGTCCAGTATTTAAATTTCCCAGGCCAATTGGCCACAGTCCGCCCCTGTAGTGCGCTATAGAAACCCACCCAGCTTTTATATTACTGTTTTGTTTATTGTAAGGTCAAACATTTTTACAAAGTAAATATGGCCAAAAATAAAAACCAGAAACACCAATGTCTGCACACCACGTCTACTCTCTAGACTAATTGGTTGTTTACCACACATCTTCTCTTCCCAGAATCCCCACAGTGAAAGTGGTCAAGCCAAAAGAGACCAACGAACTATTTAGCACTTTGTACAGACGAGGACAGCCTCTACCCAAGAAACCACAGAGAGCACCGGTACAGGTAGAGCCAGACGGCAAGAGGTACTCACTCAAACACAGGAAGGTAAGTTAGGGGAGATAATCAAAATAAATCTTACTCACTCACAGAAAGGTAAGCTAGGGGAGATAATCAAAATAAAACTTACTCACTCAAACACAGGAAGGTAAGTTAGGGGAGATAATCAAAATAAATCTTACTCACTCACAGAAAGGTAAGCTAGGGGAGATAATAAAAATAAATATTACTCGCTCACAGGAAGGTAAGCTAGGGGAGATAATCAAAATAAATCTTACTCACTTACAGAAAGGTAGGCTAGGGGAGATAATCAAAATAAATATTGCTCGCTCACAGAAAGGTAAACTAGGGGAGATAATCAAAATAAATATTGCTCACTCAAACACAGAAAGGTAAGCTAGGGGAGATAATCAAAATAAATCTTGCTCGCTCCCTTCAGTCACGGTTTGATCATAGCGATGTCGTCATAGATAACTTTATATGAACAGACATTCACAACTGCATGCGTGATTAATATAAAGCCATTTAAATTCGAATCACTTATGCATTTGCCCCCTCCCAATGTTAATTTAGTCTTTGACCACCAGGTAGAGTACATGGGCTGGACCTTCAACTTCCGGATGTCAGCACTGACTGGACCGGTGGTGTATGACGTCAGGTTTAAAGGGGAGAGAATCGCTTACGAGATAGGTGTGGCTGAAATAGCTGTTTTTTATTCTGGGAAAGACCCTTTACCTGTAAGTTGAGCTTTTATTAGTCATAAACTCGCTGGATAAAGTGTTAGAGCCAGTGTTTGTTGGAAAATTTAATAAAAACTCTGCACATGTACCCTTGTTATTTGTTAAAGTACACAATCACATCAGTTCCAGACCATAATAAAAAAAATACGATCACGCTCGTGACCAAACTAAACAATCACGTGATTAATTAAAAATGAAAAGTGTTTGGACAAAAAGTATTGAACGTCGTGTTTTATTGACAGTCTAAACTAAACGATAAGGTTGGATAGGATACTTAGTTCTGGCATGTTCCGGTTTTGAAAAAAAATTGTCTTTGTTTTTTGTCAATTTAAACAAATTACAACATCTCATGTGTGTGTGCATAAGTCTGTTTTTGAAAATCTGTTTTAATTTATTTTGGCCGTATTGTTTCTTAACCTCGAGTCGGTCAAAAAAAAACAAAACAACAACATGAAATATCAAAGCTTTGTGTATGTAATGGTTTCTCGTGTTAAGTTTATTTTTTATGTCATTTTGTATTTATATTATTAGTTTTAATATATTTCCTTCTTATATTATGTCATTTTTAGCATGTATTTTTTTTTTAAAAACAAGTAAGAGAAGTAATTGCTTTTTAATTGTTTATCACAAATATATTAAAAGGAGCTTATGAGCACCAGTTTTATACTATTTAAAAAAGGGAAATAAGTCATGTAAGTGGTGTAAACATTTGCCTATCTTTCACAATGGTTTAAAAACAAAGGGAAAACAATAATTATACAAGAGTGTGGGATGATGTCTATTGAATAAAGATAATTCAACCGTAGCTACAGTATTCTTTTAACAAAACAACTGTCAAATAAAAACTACCGATGTGGAGTTCTAAAATTTCCTAAAGTAACATATAAACCGCCCATATAATCATTGATCTTTATTGTACTAACACCAATAGAGCCAGCTAGCTAATTTTTGTAACCAAAAAACAGCTAGACATATTTTTTCAAATTTTCAAAAAGAAATTTGGTGAAATTCCATTGAATTTAACATTATTTTCATTGGAATTTCGTCACACCAAATTTTGAAAATTAAAAAAAAATATTTCTAGAGTGATTTCTGTTACAAAAACTAGCCAGCTGACTCTATTAGCGTTAGTACAAGAAGGATCAATGGTTATATAGCCGATATTTATGTTAGTTTATGAAATTTTAGAACTCCATAAAAGGATGTTTTTTTCAAGATGGCCGCCGTTGCCATGGCAACCAAATTTTCAAAAGAGTCCCTGATGCATGGAAATATTTCCCTACAAGTACCCTAACTTAGATATGCACAAATGAATCAATAAAAGCTTTTCATTAAGAAGTTGGTTTTTTCTGGAGCCTACCCCCTATTTTAATGTAGTGATTTCATTCAAATTTTCCCGATACGTTCGTCTACAATAACAATGCAAAAATCTAATACTACTAAAACTCAAGTTTGTTTACATGTTTGAATATTTATTTGTTTGTCTGAAATACTATTGTAAATGGTTCTACTCATTGTGAAGAGCTGTAAAATAGTATGTAGGTAGAGAACAATTTTTGATTTCAGACAGACTGTTAATCACAAATTTATTTAAAGAAGTTAATTAATTAATTGATTTATTCATAGGTAGATTAACCACATTAATTTTAAAGTTTTAGAACAATGGCTTAACTTTAACTGAATAGTGACGTTTGATAACTCATTTTTTTGTTTGTTTCTTTTTCTGATTTGTTATTGGGGAGAATCTGCATTATGTGTAGAGCTGTAAAATAGGATTTTGGGTGGTAAATATTGTTCCTTCTTAAACACACTGTTAATTACAAACTAATTTAAAACCGTTAATTAATTTATTGATATATCCATAGGTAGATTAACCACATTAATTATAAAAGTTTAGAACAATAAATTTAGTAATAGTAAAAAGATTTTATTTTTACAACAATGTTTTCAATTTTTTTTCTTAAGGCCTACATGTGAATGATAAGGTTGACTATCAGGACCTCACGGGGCACAGGGCAGGTGAAGTAGAGTTCACCTGTTTCTATGTTCTCAGCCTATGAAGGGATAGTGTGCTGAGTCGGAGTCGTTTTTTTAAAAATTCAAACATGTCTGAGACTTGGCGGGACACTGGGCAGGTGAAGTAGAGTTTTTAAAATATAAAAAAACGTCTTTTAGAATGTGGGGTATGGTTATTTTCGGATGAAAAATACTGGCACACGTGATGTCATTTATGGATGACCCCCGAAACCCACAGTTATCTAACTAGATAACGGGTAGTCTAGTATATTATAAAAAAGGTTTTTATATTAATTGTTTTTCTAAACTCTGGTTACAATTCACCTATAAGTTCTTTATTTAGCAAATAACGAATTACGTGGACAGCGGTGTACTCTTAGGATCACATTCTAAGTCCCTTGTGCCAGGTGGAGACTGCCCAGAGTTTTCTACCCTTGTCAATCAGGTATGTTCCTAAATGCCCAACTTTCGTATGACATTTCTTTCACGAGCCTCACAATTCTAAATAAAAGACCTGTCGTGTGGAAACTATGACACAATACGTTAATTTATGTAACAATATATGCAATAAGCAAACAGTAAATAATGAGTTAGTTAAGTATTACTATATTTTCGTGATCCAAAGTGTAGCATTTTTTACATGATTTCATTTTTTTTTTCATAACAGACATTCTGGAGTCAGCACCAAGACGAACCTGGAGTCCTTGACTCCACTTTCTGTCTGTTCGAGATCAACAACGGTTACCCGCTTAGGAGACACTCGTCCTATGAGAAGGAAGCTGGTTCATTCTATGGCGGCATGTTGGATTCTGTACTCACATTAAGGTTCGTTTTATTGCGGCATGTTGGATTCTGTACTCACGATAAGTTCGTTCTAAAGTCAAGGTTAGTTATGGATGGCCGAGATTTTTAGCAGTTGGACTTGGTGCTATGTTCTTATGGTGATCTCAGATGGTTTCATTCAGGTGGGTTAAATGTGGGGTGGAAGAGTTTCTGGAAGAGGGGTATAGTAGAGTTAGGGTTAGAAGTTCATTGTTACTTTATAGCAGTAGGCAATGAAATATCGGACTTGGCCACTGAGGACAGAAGTTTGCGTCTCTCCCAACAATTTTATAAGTATATGGCCGTGTAGATGTACAATAATTCTTTTTAAAACCATTTAGCATTTTGTGTCGTGTAATACATTTATTTCATGTTGTGTTGCTTTAAAACCAGTAATGACATTTTGTGTCCTGTAATACATTTATTTAATGTTGTGTTGCTCTTTTTAACCGGCCATGAATACCTTTCAGATCCGCCTTGACGTTAGGAAATTACGATTACATCATCGATTTTATTTTTCATCAAAATGGTATCTTGGAATTTCGGCTAATGAGTACAGGTAGGAATTAGAAGCTTGTAACTCTGTGTGTGGGTTAGTACGGATAAGCAGCTGTGTCATTAGGAAATCTTGACGGGCGTGATAAATTTTAACGAAGTATAATGTCATACATATTTAACGTAATAATAGACGATAGCCCTCAATACGAACAAAATTCTCTTAGAATACATCTCAGATATACACAGCCCCACGGCAACACACAGACCATTCTCACAAACATGAGAACCCTCAAAAAAGTATTAGTCTGTCTTTTTTAAAGCTTGATGCTCAACTGCCATTCATAACGTCAAAAATTATATCAAATCCAATTTATAAAAAAAACTAGACTACCCGTTATCTAGTTAGATAACTGTGGGTTTCGGGGGGGGGGGGCGGTCATCCATAAATGACATCACGTCTGCCAGCACTTATCATCCCAAAATACCAGACCCCACATTCAAAAAGACGTGTTTTTATATTTTAAAAACTCTACTAAACTCTACGTCACCTGCCCAGTGACCCGCCAAGTTTCAGACATGTTTGTATTTTAAAAAAAAAAACCATTCCGGCCGAGCATGGCTCTGAACACACTATCCCTTCATATGCTGAGAACATAAAAACAGGTGAACTCTACTTCACCTGCCCTGTGCCCCGCGAGGTCCTGATAGTCAACCTTATCATTCACATATAGGCCTTAAGAAAAAATAATTGAAAACATTGTTGTAAAAAAAAAATCTTTTCACTATTACTAAAGTCATTGTACTAAACTTTTATAATTAATGTGGTTAACCTACCAATGAATATATCAATAAATTAATTAACGGCTTTAAATTAGTTTGTATTTAACAGTGTGTTTAAGAAAAAACAATATTTGCCACCCAAAATCCTATTTTACAGCTCTACAGATATGCAGATTCTCCCCAATAACAAATAAAAAAAATGAGTTATCAAACGTCACTATTCAGTCAAAGTTAAGCTATTGTTCTAAAATTTTAAAATTAATGTGGTTAATCTACCTATGAATAAATCAATAAATTATTTAACGTCTTTAAATAAATGTGTGATTAACAGTCAGACTGCAATAAAAAAATTGTTCTCTACCTACATATTATTTTACAGCCCCCCCCCCCCCCCCCCCCCCATATAGGGCAGTTTCCTTAGAGTACCAAATCAGACAAACAAACAAATAAATATTCAAACATGTAAACAAACTTGAGTTTTAGTAGTATATAGATAAGTTGATCGTAAATGCTAGATATAAGACCTTTATTAAGTTGAAGGTGTAATACACATTTACAAAAAATTAAAATATTTGGTCATTGATTTATCACATTTTGGAGACCTTTTTTCGAGAACTTGTACAAAACAGTAGGATTGTATTGTTGCAAGTCTGAATTGTGTAATTGTTAGAGACATACTAATTGGCACAAAAGGTGCCAATTCACTGATCTCGATACAAACTTAGTGTCAATGCTTGTTGCTAAAGCTGATGGTCATTGAGGTTTTTATTTTTTGTTTTATTTTTTGGTTGGACAGCCTTCGTAAATAATTTAAGACACGATCTGCTAAGTCACATTATAGGGTACATCCTGCCTGCCTTATATTCTGACAGGGTACATCCTGCCTGCCTTATATTCTGACAGGGTACATTCTGCCTGCGTATTATTCTGACAGGGTATATTCTGCCTGCGTTATATTCTGACAGGGTACAATCTTCCTGCCGTATATTCTGACAGGGTACATCCTGCCCGCCTTATATTCTGACAATGTACATCCTGCCTGCCTTATATTCTGACAGGGTACATCCTGCCAGCCTTATATTCTGACAGGGTACATCCTGCCAGCCTTATATTCTGACAGGGTACATCCTGCTAGCCTTATATTCTGACAGGGTACATCCTGCCCGCCTACTATGCTAACAAAAAAGGCGACTACGGGTTCCGGCTCCACGATTACATCACCGGAAGTCTCCACCACCACATGGCACACTTCAAAGTTGACCTGGATGTGGGCGGTACGTCTAACCGTTATGAGACTCTAGACGTCGTTAGAGAGACGGTCAGACTGAAATCTGTGAGTATGGCAGGAAAATTGTTGAATTCGACACTTCCAAAGATGAGACTAATAGTTTTTTGCTTTGAAACACTATCAGTAGCTCGTGAACGGCGATTTTCCTCACATCCCCCCCCCCCACTCCCTCCTCCCCAGTGGAAGCAGCATTCGGTAGCGACAGTTTACAGATGACGATGAAAACATCAAGCAGAACTTGTTACCTCCTCTTAGTTTCAAATTGTTTAAAAACTAAATTATCTGCCCATAATAATATCCGTCACTAATTCGACTAATTCGACCCGGCTCGACGATTGTAAACATTCGGGGTGAACAATAGCTCACCAGACAAGTGGGTGTGGGGGTGATAGCGTAATGGTCTGTTGCGCATGCCTGGGGAGCGAGGGAGCATTTGGGTCGGCCAGCGTACTTGGTGTTCCGCATGGTCCTTACGTAGAGAATTATTTATATAGATATCTATCGCAGTACACGATAATACATTTTTATGGATTACAGTAGATGATAGATACAAATGAATACATACTCTGTTAGTTTTCACTGATTAGAAATGTATAAATTCCTAAGCTTTAAATGTATTTCTATAAAAGTAAAATTGGTGAACATTGTGTGTATTGTAGTCTTCTCTTTTAGTGACTGATTGTTGAAAGTAAATACACCTTAGAATATGTGAACACCTACAATTCCCACTACCCCATTTCTAGATGCAATAATTGATTTTGTATAGTTAATAAAATAACTCATCGGCTCATCCTTAAATTGGATTCAATTTCTGAACCACTAAGCACATCCTGAAATTTAAATCCTGTTTTCTCGGATATTTATTACATAGGGTAGGTCAGCTTCAATTTAGATTATCCCAGCTCTTAAGCGGACGATAACAGTAATTTACATTGCGTCGATTTAAATGATAATGTTGTAAGTGCGAGAGAGCGTTGTTTAGTTAGTTGAAAGCAAAACTAAAATGCAAACCCATTTCTTGTAACAATATAAAGCGACCCCACGTGAAGTACTATCAAAACAAAGTGGTCCGAAAACTGAAGACCACAGAGAAAGCCGCTGTATATGACTACCACTTCAAGAAACCAAAATACCTGCTGGTGCACAATGATGCCAAGAGAACAAAATACAACCAGTTGAAAGGATTTAGGTGAGTTCCTGTAGGGCAGATGAATTCCTTAATGACAGGTAAGTTCGTTGAAAGGCTTTGGGTGAGTTATTATATGACATGTGAGTTAGAAGCTTTAAGTGAGTTCTATATGACCGGTTGGTTAGTTGCAAGGCTTTAGGTGGGTTCTCATATGGCAGGCAGTGGAGTAGCCAGGATAGTCTCGTTGGGGTGAGGGGGTGTTCAAAACTTTATATATATATATATATATATATATATATATATATATATATATATATATATATATATATATATATATATATATATATATATACTAGCCGTCCCGGCCAGGCCCTGCTCTGGCTTCTGTGAAAAACCTTTCTGTTAAAGACCATCACCTGTGTGTTTAGTAATCATCATAAACCCGGCATTGCCCACCCAAACCACAACCAACCAAAACCAAAACAACAAAACGCAAACGTAACGCTAACACAATTACAAATACAAACAAAAACAAAAACCTAACAACAAACCCAACCACAACCACAAACACCAATACAAACACAAAGAAAAAACAAACAAAAAAGCAAACGAAAACAAAAACCTAACAACAAACCCAACCACAATCACAAACACCAATACCAACCAATAACAACACAAAAATAACAAACGAAAAAACAAACGAAAACAAGCCAAATCCAAACGCAAACCCAACCAAAAACACAAATACAAACCCAAAGAAAAAAACACAAACAGAAACGAAAAAAGAAAGAACAAAAACGAACCAAATCAAACCGCCACCACTAACGCAAACCCAACCTAAACATAAAGAAAACACTAACGCGAACATAAACGCAAAGTGCTCACAGTCTATCCCGTGGCGGAATCGCCTGTTTTAGCTTAATAAACGACTATAGTACCCCAACTTATTCATAGTCTTTTGCACTCACTTAAACGAACGCGCCTGTTTCAATTTAATGAACAATTATAATACTCCAAGCTTATCCGTAAAATACCTACAACATTTGCAATTGATCAATCCCCGCTAATTATGTAATTATTTTTTTTCCCAACACCAAAACAAAGTAATAAAAAGTAAATTCTTTTCCACTAATGCAATGGTTTTATAAAGGGAAGTAATTGTGTTTTCCTAATTTATCAAAGGGAAGTAAGTGCTAAAGGACTAAATAAAAACATAATTAGAATTTTTGTAAAAGATGATATTTTTTTAAAACTTGTGTTTAATGAAAATGCCGAAAAGTATTACTTTCAGTTTGATAAATGAAAATTATTTCCCAAAACTTTCAATATTAATTTTTTAACTCATAAATTTAGACCGTAAGGACTTTAATTATCTAACACTTAAATCCATCGAAGTATGTCAACGACAAAAATTACATACAGAATTGAGCTTTATATATTATATATATATATATATATATATATATATATATATATATATATATATATATATATATATATTGACAATGTTAATGTCTAGTGTTAAACTATTTAACATTGACCAACAGAATTCAGCTAAACGGCATCTCTTACAACCTGCTGCCCCGTGACCAGGGCAATGAGCGCACCATCCCCTGGGCACGGCACCAGATGGTGGTCACTAGGCACAAGGACGACGAGATCTGGTCCAGCTCCAACTACGGCATGTTTGACGGCCTTGACCCTGTGGTCAACTTCACCAAATTTTATGACGACGACGAAGACATTGTTGACAAGGTAAGGACCTTTAGTTTTACTAGAAGCCATCGATAGTGTAATGCTAAAGATCTTTATCACTCTTATCTTAATTGCACTCATTCAGTGATGCAACAAAAGTTAAAACAAATAATTTTTTATGTAATCACAGGAAAGAAAATTAGTTACATATAAATAAAGTAACATGAAAATTTACAGAATAAATTAAAAATCAGATTATCGATGGTTGTTGAAAGTGCCCTTCCTTACGACGGTCACCAAATGGTTAAATTCCTTCAGAAGAGACTCTAGACCAACATGTAATCTCGACAGCATCAACGTCTGCATCTTGCTTTTCACTCAGTGGGGCCTCCATTTCCTGCCCTAACCCTCTCTCGTATTCTCTGTCAACGGATTCACATATTTGCCCAACATGGCTAGCATTAGGCGTCGGTGGATTGTAATAGTTCAATCTTTTCCCTTGAGCTTTTAACACATTTCATTTTAACAAATTTCACTACAATTTTTCGCAGGGTGAACTTTTCGCAATGCAGTCTTCTGTTAAACTGTCTGTGAGCTGATTGGTTCAAATCACGAGTATCAAATTTCTGTTTAAATTGTTTTGTTACAAAATTTTGCAGTTTACAAATGTTGATTGAAATTGTTACAACCGTTGCTAACGTCTCCCAACCAGGACCTGGTATTCTGGCTGACTGGGGGCATGCATCACATCCCCCACACTGAAGACCTGCCTGTGACCCCAAGTGTAGGCAATCACCTGACCTTCTTTTTGCTGCCCTACAACTATTTCGATGAGTGTCCGTCAATGGGTTCACGGGATGCAATGTATATCAAACACATTGACCCACGTGACCCCACCAAAGGTGTTACTGTTGACAGGTGAGCCGAGGCATCTACAGCCATCAACCCCTGGTCTATAAAGATCTTATGTTAAAGAACCCCCATAGCAGCATTGTACAACGGTTATAACATTCATGAAACTTAAAGAAACTGTACACTGTACATTAGATAGGTCTAAAACAAATTTCCGAAAGACGCTTGTCCGAAAATATAAACAGTAAACGAACATGACTTGTGTGTTTATTAAACAACATATACTGGCTTTAGGAAATATATACCTTTCGAATTAACCCTAACAACAACCAACTACAAACAAAACACAAACACAAACGCAAACACATAAGCAAACAAAAACCAAACACATCATAAAAGCAAACACAAAAACAAACAAAAACGCAAACTAAAACAAAAGCAAAATCCCAAAAGCCAAACACAAACAGAAAAAGAAACAAAACACAATAGCCACGCAAAGAAAAACGCAAACAAAAGCGAAATCGAAAACTTAACAGCTAACACAAAAGCAACGACGAACACACTTGTAAACACAAACAAAAATGCAACACTAGCACAATTACAAATCCAAGCACAAACACAAAAAATAAAGCAAAGATAGAAACTAATGCAACGCAAAAAACCCACAAAACAATAATACAGAACAAAATAAACCGGGAGTGATCTCCCCTAAACTTTCTCGAATATTCTTATCCTAATATATAATTCCCCATGTGCGCACTTCTCTCTCTCTCTCTCTCTCTCTCTCTCTGTCTGTCCGCAAAATATTTTCGCCGGACATCACGTCAGAAACGGCAGCGATATATGGAGAACTTTATACGGACTTTTGTTGAAAATAATATGTTAGATGTTTTAAATGTATAACCACAATTTTATTTAAAGAAGAAAAATAAAAATTAAAGGCGTATTCGAATGTAGAGAAACAGTATTATTTATGCAACCGGAAAAGCATTAATAGATGTGAAAAAGAACGCATAAAACTGTGACGTCACTATTGCTTATACATTAACTAATGACGTCATCTGCCGTGTTTAGAATAAAAAGAAATGAACTATTTCATTCAAATTTGATTTAGATCTACGTGCACTATGAAATGTATACAATACAATTTTTCCGGCCTAAACTCATAAAATTTATTTTATTTATTTGGATTCTAGATCTAGATATTCTAGATTCATCTATTCAAATAATACATTTCTATACTAAAGTATTTCAGGCCTTAATTACTTTATTGAAATCTTTGTTTATCTATGCCATTTGCTAATCTCTATCTAATATATAAAGCTCAGTTCTGTAACGTGTGGCAAAAAAAAAAGTTTGTCGTGGACAGTTCTACGGATTTAAGTGTTAGATTTTTTATCATGCTCAAAGTCTAAATTTACGAGTCAAAAAATTACCATTGAAAGTCTTTAAAAACAATTTTCATTCTATTTACTTAGAAGAAGAATTTTCAATTATAAACACGACATAAAATTTTTAAAAAGTGTATCGACGTTTATAAAATTTCTAAAATTGTGTCGGAAATGTATTGTCTGCAAAGTTACTTCCCTTTAATGAAAAATAAATCCTTAAGAAGAGAGAATTAACATTTTATTACTTTGTTTTTGGTGTTAAGAAAAAAAAAATAATTACACAATTAGCGGGGATTGATTAAGTGCAATGTCGTTAGATATTTTTAACACTGCCTTTTATTTATTCTATACACTGAACATACTGTTCAATAATTATTTTTTTTTTTTTAAATCAATAACATTTAATAAGCCAGGTCCTACAAATCATATACGTTTATTTCTTTCCATTTACGGATAAGCTTGGAGTATTATCATTTTTGTTCACTAAATTGAAACAGGCGCGTCCGCCGGCGCCCCTGCACGGTTTGATTTGGCACCCTGGGCTATCATGTGAGCGCTATGCTGCATAATTTTGTTTTAAACAGTGCGATAGACTATGGATAAGAAAGGTTACTATAGTCTTTAAGTGAATCAAATCCGGGCGTCCTCCGGCACCCCGACAGGGTGCTATTTGGCGCCCCGGGCCTTCCGGTGTACGCTATGGTATCTACGTTCGCGTGAGTTCAAAAGACTATAAATAAGTTATGCACTATAGGCGTTTACTAAGTTCAATCAGGCGGTGACGTCATGGTGCGTCCTCTGGCGCCCAGACAGGGTGCTTTTTGGGGTCCCGGGCCTCCCGTGTTCGGTTTCGCGCCTACGTTCATTAAAGTGAGTGCAAAAGACTATGAATAAGTTGGGGTACTATAGTCGTTTATTAAGTTGAAGTAGGCGATTCAGCCCCGTGAGCACTTTGCGTTTATATTCGCGTTAGTGTTTTCTTTGTGTTTAGGTTGGGTTTGCGTTAGTGGTTGCGTTTTGATTTGGTTCGTTTTTGTTCTTTCTTTTTTCGTTTGTGTTTTATTTTCATTGGGTTTGTGTTTGTATTTGTGTTTGAGGTTGGTTTTGCGTTTGGATTTGGTTTGTTTTCGTTTGTTTTTTCTTTTGTGTTTTATTTCTTTGGGTTTATGGTTGGTTTTGCGTTTGTATTTGGTTTGTTTTCGTTTGCTTTTTCGTTTGTTTTTTTCTTTTGGGTTTGTGTTTGTGGTTGGTTTTGTGTTTGGATTTGGTTTGTTTTCGTTTGCTTTTTTCTTTGTGTTCGTATTGGTGTTTGTGGTAAGTTTTTGTTTTCGTTTGTATTTGTAATTGTGTTAGCGTTATGTTTGCGTTTTGTTGTTTTGGTTTTGGTTGGTTGTGGTTTGGGTGGGCAATGCCGGGTTTATGATGATTACTAAACACACAGGTGATGGTCTTTAACAGAAAGGTTTTTCACAGAAGCCAGAGCAGGGCCTGGCCGGGACGGCTAGTAATATATAAAGCAAAGTTGTCGGGTGCCCGATAGGGCACTTCCCGGCGCCGCAGGCGCTTCAAATTTGGCAGGATCTTGCCTTGGGGCGACAGAACACGGGGGCCGGTTGGCCGAAAAGTCTACGATGATGGGGTCAAAACTGACCTCAACTGACCGGCGCCTTATATGAGCTATAAATCGAAAAAAAAATGTCCACGGAGGAACCTCTTCATAACTCCTGAGGTCGTAGACCGACCCTCGGGCGAATTAATTAAGCATTCAAATTCTCAATGTTTTCGAAAGCCTAAGCAAAGCTGGGCAGCATGCCTAGTATAAAATAACAGGGGATGGAAACTCGGGCTATAGACATGATTTTTAATCCATTTTAAATTCCTAAAATTTTAAAAAATAGAATAAAATCTCGTAGACAAATTAATTGCACACCAAGTGAACGCCAAATAAAAAAGCGCATAATAGTGCGCAATATTATTAGTACTTTAAAAATTTACATTAGTTTTTTGAGAAATCGGAAGTAGCGTAAATTACTACTTCCGGTCAACGGAAATTACTCAAAATTTAACAGAAGGTACAGAATTAGATCTTTTACTTACATGTGAAATTTCATTTATCTATCTGAAATAGTACTCAAGTTATAGGCTTTTAAAAAATTCAAAGTAGGAAAAGTACCACTTCCGGTTATCGGAAATCGCTCAAAAGTTGATACGGATCTACGATTTTGATAAAATACTTATATATGAAATTTCATCAACCTAGCTGTAACGGTACTCAAGTTATCGTGTTTACACACGGACAGACACACACACAGACACACACACACACAGACATACGGACAAGATTGCAAAATTATGTTTTTCCGTATCAGTGAGGTGTAAAACGTCGAGATTTGTAAAAATCTCGATTTTTTTTTTTTGCACGATTACAATAATTTCTCTATACTACGTATATACGAGAAAGTAAAAAGCTTATATGCCAACATATATGCATAGTGCTCACAGTATAGCCGGGGGCTCGAATTCTACACTTGCGAGACGCCGGCGGAACCACCTGACTCAAGATAGTAAACAACTATAATTCCCCATCTTATCTATTGTCTATCGCACAGTTTAAGCCGAACCTAGACGCCATTGTGCTCCTGTGAATTACCGGGCACCTAATAACACCCTTTCGGGCGCCAAAAGACGCCCTGGATTCGTTTTAGTGAAAGACTATAGTAACTTTTCTTATCCATAGCGTAGTTGCCATAGCGCTAACGGGTAGGCCCGGTGTACCAAATAGCACTCTGTCGGGGCGCCTTAGGACGCCATGGATTTGATTTAGTGGTGGGCGAGCCTGATTCTATTTAGTGAACAACTATAATACCCCAAGCTTGTCCGCAAACAGAAATATAGAAGTAAACATAGGGGACAATTAGAAGCGGCTTCTAAACTGTTATTGATTACGAATAATAATTAGTAAACAGTACGTTCAATGTATAAAATAAATAAAAGGCAGGATTTAAAATTTCTGTTTTACCTACTACATTGCACTATATCAGTCCATGCTACTTATCTAATTGTTTTTTCCAACCCCCAAAAAAACTAATTAAAAAATCACTAAGTTAGATACAACAAAAAACACTTTAAGAATATAACAATATGGCGATCAAGTCGAGATTTTGACTATATGCATGTTTACCACGTGTCCGTTTGTCCGCCACATACATACATACGGTCAATTTAAACTTAATTTATTAGACTAGCCGTCCCGGCCAGGCCTGCACTGGCTTCTGTGAAAAAAAACTGTCTGTAAAGGACCATGACATGTGTGTTTAGTAATCAGCATATACCCGGCATTGCCCGCCCTAACCACAACCAACCAAAACCAAAACAAACAAAAAATGCAAACACAAATCCAAACACAAACACACAAACAAAAACCCAAAACAAACGCAAACACAAAGAAATCAGAAACACAAACAAAAAAAATAACGAAAGCAAACCAAATCCAGACGCAAATACAAACCCAATAAAAAACGCAAACCCAACTCAAACACAAAGAAAACACAAACGCAAACATAAACGCAAAGTGCTCACAATCTAGCCCGGGGCGCCAAATCTCACCATACTGGGGCGACACAGGAACCGCCTATTTCAGCTTAGTGACTATAGTATCCAAACTTATTCATAGTCTTTTGCACTCACTTAAACGAATGTAGGCGCCGAAGCAAACACGGGAAGGCCCGAGGCGCCAAAAAGCAACCTGTCTGGGCGCCAGAGGACGCCCGGATTTGATTCACTTAAAGACTATAGTAACCTTTCTTATCCATAGTATATCGCACTTTTTAAAGCGAAATTATGCACCATAGCACTCGCAGGATAGCCCAGGGCGTCAAATCGAACCTTTCCGGGGCGTCGGCTGACGCGGCTGTTTTAATTTTGTAGACAATTATAATACCCCAAGCTTATCCGCAAACGGAAAGAAGTAAACATAGAGGACATTTAGGAATCGGCTTATTAACTGTTATTAAAAAATAATTAATAAACAGTACGTTTAGTGTATATCAGGGGTCTCCAAACTTTTCAGCCCGAGGGCCGCATTAACTATCAAAAATCAGTTCGGGGGCCAGAGTTTCTTTAAGGCATCTTTTTCAGCCCCCCCCCCCCCCCCCAACCAAATAAAATTTATATAAAATTTATATAGAAATATAAACAAATTTCAAATGTCCCCCGCCCACCCGAGGTCTACGTTTGCTCTCAAATTGTTCTTCACGTATTTCATTCTTGAAAATGTTTGTTCACACAGGAATGCTGTTTCAAAATTTGAAAGGTACTTTGATGCAAAAGTTTTTATATTAGGAAAGTCTTCCTTGTCAGAGGCGTAGCAAGTGGGGGGCGGGGGGGGGGGGGGCGGGGGGGGGGGACATATGTTCCCGGGCGCCGACCTGAGGGGGCGCCAAAATGGGTTGGAAAAACAAATTGAAAGTTTGAATGGGGGGGGGGTGCAAATCGAAAGGTTGAAGGGGGGGGTGCAGATCGAAAGTTTAAGGGGGTTGCAAATCAAAAGTTTGTCCCCGGGCGCCGGGAAGGGTCGCTACGCCTCTGTTCCTTGTGCACAAACTTATGAAAACCCATCCGCCCTTCTTTGAACGTGTCCCTAAGGAAGTCATTTTCTTGCAATTCAATGACCTCCCGCTGCAGTTCATCTTTGCAACTGGCCACATTTGCTTCAAATGGGCTTTGAAACAGTCTAACTTCTTCTGCCTTTGAATCCAAGTCAGAAAAACCGCTTCTGATACTGCAGCTGGAGCTCTTTAATGATCTCGTATGTAAATGATGTGGGGAACTCAGTGGTAAAGACCTTGCACTGCTGAAAGTGTGTCAAGTTGTTAGCCTGTACTTGTTCCAAAAACATGACACGTTTGTATCTAAAGGCCTTTTGGTGGGTGTATAGATCAGAAACTAGATTTCCCTCTCTAGCCGTTTTAGGTTCAGAAAATTTAAATGACTAGTTATGTCTGCAGCAGAGGCCAATTTCTATACCCACTCTTCATCAGACAACAATGGCTGTGACTTGCCTTTACTTTCAGGAAGTCACCTATTTCTTTTCTTAACTTAAATACTCTGCTCAGAACGTTTTCGCAAAATAAGCAATCTTACTGATGTGAAATATGGTAAATCTTGCGATTTTTTTTCTCTCTGAACTATCTATGGTTAGATATCCTCTTCGGTAACAGTGTCATACATTCTATGTAAGCAAGCCAGCTCTTGTGTTATGTTCATGTCTTCACACCACTAATGAACATAAGAAGAGGTGGAACAACTGTCCAGCGACTCATCCATTGCAATTGAAAAATGGCGAAGCTTGCTTGCATTTTTCACTATTAGAGTCACTATGTTTTCACCAATGTCTGCAACACGGCGAGTAATTGTATTTGCACACAAAGCTACATTTTCAAATAGTTTTGAATTTTCTGTGCAAAGCTCCTCAGCCATCTCCAACCAACATTTATTCAGTGGACAATAAGATCGTCGCGGGCCGGATAAAACGACCTCGCCGGCCGGATGCGGCCCGCGGGCCGTAGTTTGGAGACCCCTGGTGTATATAATAGATAAAAGGCAGTATTAGAAATATCTACAACATTGCACTGGATCAATCCCCGCTAACTATGTAACTCTTTTTTTTTTCGCAACACCAAAACAAATCTATAAAATCTATATTCTTTAAACCCCGATGTAATGGTTTTTAGCGCAATTTCCATACGGACAATTGCGATTATTAACTCTTCATTTCTGGATGGATGGATGGATGGATGGATGGATGGATGGTTGGATGGATGGATGGATGGATGGATGGATGGATGGATGGATGGATGGATGGATGGATGGATGGATGGATGGATGGATGGATGGATGGATGGATGGATGGATGGATGGATCGATGGATGGATGGATGGATGGATGGATGGATGGATGGATGGATGGATGGATGGATGGATGGATGGATGGATGGATGGATGGATGGATGGATGGATGGATGGATGGATGGATGGATGGATGGATGGATGGATGGATGGATGGATGGACGGATGGACGGGTGGACGGGTGGACGGACGGACGGACGGACGGACGGACGGACGGACGGACGGACGGACGGACGGACGGACGGACGGACAAACGGACGGACGGACGGACGGACGGACGGACGGACGGACGGACGGACGGACGGATGGACGGATGGATGGATGGACGGATGGATGGATGGATGGATGGATGGATGGATGGATGGATGGATGGATGGATGGATGGATGGATGGATGGATAGATGGATGGATGGATGGATGGATGGATGGATGGATGGATGGATGGATGGATGGATGGATGGATGGATGGATGGATGGATGGATGGATGGATGGATGGATGGATGGATGGATGGATGGATGGATGGATGGATGGATGTGTGTCCGCAGCTTTAAGTGGTATCTCCTCCTAAACGTAGCAATATCGAGGACTAGTTCCAAAAGCAAATATGTTAAGCAAGTTCCAGTGATGATTGTGGGCCATAAAAATTCCCGGAATTCCTTCCTGGATTTCCCGGAAAAGCAAAAAAAAAAAACTCGAACAAATGCAGTTTTTGCTCCATATCTCGGCAACCAGACCACTTAGCGACTTGAAACATTTAGCAATCGATTCCTGCCATAATTTAGAACAATAGTGCCCAAGAAAGTTTTCAAAAATATCCTTTCGTTCGGTCACAAAAAATTAATTAAGAATTTTTACCGATCGTTCTCCTAGCTTGAACGCACCCCAGCATTATACGTCTTTGTGATCATTTCGACTGATACGGGAGGCTAGCCTGTCGTGACGTGGGGTCGTTCGCGTCACTGCGCGCGGCAAGACAGAGAGAGAGGCGAGCTACGCGTCGCTCGTTATAAGGAGATTGCGCTTAAATTGTCACTAGACTTTTTATTAACTTGTTTTAAAGGAAGTTGTTGTTTTCCTAATTTTGTTAAGGGACGTAATAAGTGCTGTAGGACTAAATGTAAATAATTTTAAGACACAATTACAATTTTTGTGAAGGATGATACATTTTCTTTATTGTTGTTTGACGGACATGCCGACAATTATTACTATAATTTTGAAAAATGAAATTTGTTTTACAACACCTTCAATATTAATTTTTAAAACATAAATTTAGACGATGAGCACGTTAGATGAATAACACTATGATGACATAGAAGTATTTATTTTTTCTAATATTCCTTTGTAATCCTCGGTTTGCCAAATACAGATTTTGAACTTTATCTTTTAGTGTTTTTTTTTTTAATACACAAATATACCATACTGCTCATATTGTGTACAGGAACGGCAACTCAAGAGACCAGTGTGTCATCCCGAAGTCAACCCTAGAGGAGACAGTTAGTGACAACCCTGACCTTATCCTAGAGAGCAGGAGAAAGAATTTTATTTTATACTGACTGGCTTAAAAATAAAGAACCAAATCTAGCCATACGCTGTCTTCTTATTGTTGATCATAATTTAATTATTGTTCTCTGAATAACGAGAGTTAAATCGCAATGTCTAGAAACTTTGGTTTATTTTGTCCGTGTGTTTGATTGTTCAGCTATGTTGTTGATGTGTTGCAGGAAGCTCTAAGATTACAACTTCGTTGGGTGCTGGCAGATAAATGACTTATCAATAGAACAGCAGCATACTGTATTAGTGTGTCCAACCGTAATTTAGATTAGTCAGTTTTAAGGTAGAATTAAAAATGTCCTAAGAAATAGGCAAACCAAATGCCATAACGTTGCAGTTTTAAACACCACATACTTCTATAAATCTCATGTTGTCAAAACAAAAAAAGATCAGAATAAAAAATACTAAAAATCATTTTTTTAAAAAAAAACTTCATTTTACTCGGCTATGTTATTCACTGATGGACTTTCTAGTGTTGAGTGATTTCTTGTAAACGGAGGTACTATTTTACGCAGTCTGATTGCTCAATAAAAAAATAAGAATTATTTTTCCTACTTTTATCGCCCGCTATGGACGAAAACTTGCGAGCAAACTTTCGACCACTTTTACGTGGCTGATTTCTTTCAAACTTTACGCGTAGGTCAAGATTCGATGAAAATACATTGCGACATCATAATATAAAACACTTAAACTCCACTCTATTATACATAATTATATAATTTGCATTCATTTGGTGAGCAGTTATTTTTTTAATGCAATTATATGCTCCTAGTCTATTTTAAGAAGTCGACGTCCCATTAATCTAAAATATGATTAATACCGGATAAAAAAGTTTACTAAAATATTTTCTGTAATACGTGATAAAAAGTGTACTAAAGTATGTTCTTTAATTCCTGCAAAACGTTTGCTATTCTGACTTTAAGCAAGAATTTTTTTTCCTTCTGATTCACGTCCGTGGTCTTGGTGAAAAAAAACCCATTGTTTTCCTGATTGGCCAAAATGTGCTTTTTTTTACAAGCTTTTGTTACTAGTATGATCTCCCGTTTTATTAGTGAACACAATGAACTTTAAGATTATTTGTATTGACGCATTTAATATTTTATATGATCGAAACTTAAATATTCTTTCATGAAATGAATATTTAAAATTTAGGAAAAGTGGTCATAATTGAGTTCAAATATTTGAATACAAGTTTAAAAAATATATAGACATAGGGACAAGTAAAAGCTTATAAAACAACTAAGTTTCTGCACAATACATTCTGTTAGATGGCCTTTAGCTAGTATCCAGATGTGGCGTCTTAGGAGAAATGTTCCAATCAATCTAGTAACTCGTAACCCCGTGATCCCAGGAGCATCACAGCTCATTTTTTAAAAACGAATCATTGATCACGTTCTCTGTCTTCTGCTTTTTGTGTTAGTTCTGCAACTGGCATCATATTTCGTCATCCCTCCCCCCATCCCCCACAATCTAAGGTATAAAGAATTGATCTTCGCAGAGATAATTCATGACGAACGAGCAATCATCGTCGTTGAGAGGCTTGTATGACGGATGGTAGTCCACACAATCCTCATTATTGTACAAACCCCCGTTGCTGGGCTCGGCTGAAACAAACCACGAACTCATCAACAGGTAAACAAGATGAATATATTGAACACATCTAAAGGTAAACAAGAATCTTATATTGAATAGATCAACAGGTAAACAAGATGAATATATTAACATGCCTGTGCCTAATGGCCCTTGCGACAATAGCCTCAAAGGTATTTGAGAGGCCCATTAAATATTTTTAAAATCATGCTCGGTGTAATTACAATTTATACGGTTATAAAACCCATACTGTTTAGTTTTATCGGACTCCAAAAATGAGTGGATGTATTTGGCGTATTAGTATTTTCGGTGAAAGTGAAAATTATTTTGAAAAGAAAACGATTTCTATCCATGTCAACAGTATGATGGAAACATTCTCGTCAACTCGGTCGTTATTGATATATTTTGTTTATAGTTTTGCTTTAAAAAAAGTAGAGTGATAAAATTGTGAAAGGGACGAATGTCCTTCAGTGTCACAGTCACACATTCCGTTAGTGTGTGCCACACGATCTCAAGTGTGGTAGTATTGTATGAAATAGAATAGACTACAATCCGTCCCCTCCTCCCAGTTTAAGACTACCAGACCCGGTGCCAGCAAATAAAAATGCCCTCACAAAATACGCAGAACGTACTAGGACTGAAGATGGTCCTCATCCATGTGTAGGAGATATTGGTGCCGTCATCCGCCCACTTAAAAACACCTTCCGTCTCCATGTCATCCAAACCTACCCAGAACGAGACTTTAATGGTGCTGGCTATTGATAGCAAGATGTCGAATTTGTCTTTGGTCTTCACTGTGTAGAGATTACCGCCGAAATCTGACGAATATATATATATATATATATATATATATATATATATATATATATATATATATATATGTGTGTGTGTGTGTGTGTGTGTATGTGTATATTTAGATGCCTGAAGGAACCACTCCGTGCATACTACTTTTAAGATTAGACAAATAGACCTACAATTGACAGTAATATTAGTGTCTATTATGAAGCATTGATGACGTCATTGTTAATGTGTATTTTATCGGCAATGGTTTTTACTTTCTCGTATATACGTAGTATAGAGAAATTATTGTAATCGTGCAAAAAAAAAAAATCGAGATTTTTACAAATCTCGACGTTTTACACCTCACTGATACGGAAAAACATAATTTTGCAATCTTGTCCGTATGTCTGTGTGTGTGTGTGTCTGTCCGTGTGTGTGTCTGTCCGTGTGTAAACACGATAACTTGAGTACCGTTACAGCTAGGTTGATGAAATTTCATATATAAGTATTTTATCAAAATCGTAGATCCGTATCAACTTTTGAGCGATTTCCGATAACCGGAAGTGGTACTTTTTCTACTTTGAATTTTTCAAAAGCCTATAACTTGAGTACTATTTCAGATAGATAAATGAAATTTCACATGTAAGTAAAAGATCTAATTCTCTACCTCCTGTAAAATTTTGAGTAATTTCCGTTGACTGGAAGTAGTAATTTACGCTACTTCCGATTTCTCAAAAAACTAATGTAAATTTTAAAAGTACTAATAATATTGCGCACTATTATGCGCTTTTTTTTATTTGCGTTCACTTGGTGTGCAATTAATTTGTCTACGAGATTTTATTCTATTTTTAAAACTTTAAGTATTTAAAATGGATTAAAAATCATGTCTATAGCCCGAGTTTCCATCCCCTGTTATTTTATACTAGGCATGCTGCCCAGCTTTGCTTAGGCTTTCGAAAACATTGAGAATTTGAATGCTTAATTAATTCGCCCGAGGGTCGGTCTACGACCTCAGGAGTTATGAAGAGGTTCCTCCGTGGACATTTTTTTTTCGATTTATAGCTCATATAAGGCGCCGGTCAGTTGAGGTCAGTTTTGACCCCATCATCGTAGACTTTTCGGCCAACCGGCCCCCGTGTTCTGTCGCCCCAAGGCAAGATCCTGCCAAATTTGAAGCGCCTGCGGCGCCGGGAAGTGCCCTATCGGGCACCCGACAACTTTGCTTTATATATTACTAGCCGTCCCGGCCAGGCCCTGGAAATAGTAATTTACGCTACTTCCGATTTCTCAAAAAACTAATGTAAATTTTTAAAGTACTAATAATATTGCGCACTATTATACGCGTTTTTATTCGGCGTTTGCTTGGTGCGCAATGTTTTTTTTTATGAGATTCTATTCTATTTTTAAAAGTTTTAGTATTTAAAATGGATTAAAAATCATAACTATATCCCCAGTTACCATCCCCTGTTGTTTTATATAAGAATATTCGAGAAAAATTAGGGGAGATCACTCCCGGTTTATTTACTTCTATTTTTTCGCTAGAATCAATGACCTCATTGCATAGTGCGTTTTTCCGGCTTTAGACCTGGACATATTTCGTTTCGTTTTGAAAAGGTCCTATATTTTTCGATGTGACGTCTCTGCCTTTCACTATTCATCTTTTAAATTTCCTTATGTTTTTCATCGAGTGCTCCAGACAGACAGACAGAATAGCAAATTTATTATAGTGAACGAGAAAAATGGCCCGTTGAGGAAGGATACAACGGGCGCTAGGTCGATAGTGCTGTCTATTTTCTCTAAACTAAAACCAAAGCCAAAATCACCACCTTAATTCAATTTAACCGGAAACGAAAAATGACATTGAAAACGGATTTTTATCTAGAATCGGAACTTTAATTTATACAAAATATAGTCATAGGCATATACCTAAACCATGCACCTAATCTCATTCATGACAAAAGTCGCATTTAGAGTTTCTTTCACTCGTATTTGTAGATCATACAAACTAAAGGAAGAACCTGGGCGGGGCTTCGCCCCTACCTGAAGAGATGCATGAAAAAAAAACTGCACGCTAAACACTTTTTAGGTTAGAAAATTTCCTTCCTCCGGGGAGGAAAAAGTCTGAAAGAAACACTGGTGTCGCGCTTAGCCACTACCCGAAGAATTGCATGAAAGAAACTCTGCACGCAAAGCACTTTTTAGATTAGACACATGAATTAGGCTGTAATTTTATTATAGAGTATCGATGAAGATATTTCTTTTGATTTGGGGGGGGGGGGGGGGCGGCGGCGGCTTAGACGTTCTTACGCGGGGGATGGGCTTCGCCCCTACCCGAAACAACTACATGAAAGAAACTCTGCAAGCAAACCACTTTTAAGATTAGACAAAATCGGCTTTTTTAAATTCAATGTTTACTCGAGAATCAATGACGTCATATTACTGTGTGCACTCTCCGGCTTGATATTATTTTCTACTACATGCTCAATATGACGTCATATTTCGTTTCCGTATTACTATGCATGTTTTTATTTGGCTTGTGTTTTCTCTAGAGCGTTCTTGTCAGATAGATACACAGACAGCGAAACTATTAGTATTAATTATTATAGATATGCATAGTTTCTAAAGATAGAGATAGTAACGGTTTATTTTAAATTAC